GAAAGAGAACCTCACAATACAATGACATCCAAGCCTTCCTCAAACATTCCTCTCCCACATGCTTCACTGATCTCACAGGTTTCCTCCACATGCAGAAGTTCCTGCACACATAGAGCTATGCACCTCTAAGGATCGCTCTTATGCATGGAAAGAAGGCACCTTGGTGGTGGTGGTTTGGTTGGCTGACACATGCCCATGCATTCAGTTAATGCTGGTTGAGGGCAGCTGGTATCGGAAGAGCTTTCTTGTCACATTTTGCCTATTTATTAAAAGCTTTTGTATGCCATCCTATTATACAAAATATTATCCAAAATAACATGCAGCAAAGGGGAGGCACAGTCCTCTTGTTTTGATTGGGCACCACCAAATATAAAGATGCAGTTCTAGTCTCAATTGTCCTGCCAAGTGGTGAGCAGTGGTGTGGTGGAGTCAGGGCCCCCAGGATCAGTATAATGGGACTTCTTGATTATCAGGAATAAAATTATCTGACACCTCCCTCAGGCCTTCCTGCTTCCCTGGAGCTTAGCTGGGGGATTTTCCCAGAAATATATTGTTATGCATTATCCCCTGTTGCAGTGTGAAACACTTAGGGATAGCTTGGACATGAATGATCCATTAAGAACCAACCAACAAAAAACAGAAAAAGCATAGCACCTGTCCCTGGAAAAGATAAAAATGGCTAGAACTGATGGGTTGACACGGATCGATCCAACTGCCTGCATTTTTGGACTTCCCTTTGATGCATGACTAAGAGGACTGTCCAAATGAGTAACCGCACCGCAAAAACTTACCTCAACGCTGCTGGTGAGCAGCTGTAAAGTCTGCCCTTCCTCTGGATTCAGCCTATACAATGAAGAGACAGACTCAGGCTGGAAAGTCTGAATCTTTCTCACACACACTTTGGAAGTGGACTACAGAGAAGACTGTCCAACTTGAGTTTCACTTGGAAGAATGCTATACATCTTACTGAAGCAGAGAGATGCTAATAAAACATAATGATGTGTGTTTGAAACAACGATTTTAAGAAAGAAAAACACTAACAGGCTTCTCAAGTTTTCAACATAATTTAATAAGAAGCTTCCGGTTTAAAAGGTATCCACAGTAAAGACAAAAAAGAGCTGGTGGCCATTTGCTATTTCACTTGCTCTTACTCATACCAGTCCCCAGCAGTGACAAGTAGTGGCTTAACTGAGTTGGAAATGTTATTGCTCAATTTGATCTCAATACACTTTTTAATGTGGTCCTTTCATTACAGCAGTAGGATGGAAGAAACGCAAGGAATATATGGGGAACAGGAGAAGTCAGTTGAAGAGGCAAAGGGTTTAAAACTGACCCAAGGAAATAATTTTTTGCCTAGGCATCACAGCTTAGTTAGTTGAACTCATCCAACATGGAAGGTTCTGGAAAGACAATGGTATAATGGAATTGTAAAGTAAGATGGGGTGGGTCATGAGACATTCTTGGAGGGGAGTTCACTCAACATGGCTTTTGGTGGTTGGAAAAATGTATCCTGGCCTCAAAATGTCAAGTAAACTTTGGACTTCTGGAAGTTGGTAATGAACAAGAGGAAACTCAGACTACTTTCTCTGAAACATCTTAATTTGGTCACTCACAGAGTGGTGGAGGGTAGTGATCTGAATGCTCCATTCAGTCATGGAAGATGGAGATGCTTCTGATCCTTCAGTAGCATTTCAATGTGAATGAAAACTTTTGTCATCTTACCAGGCTGCCCTATCTATTTAGCTATGGCATAGATGTAAAATTCTCCCAGTGGGGGACAGGGAAAGGGAGTTATTCTTTCTAGGTTCTGCTTGCTTTGTTGCTGTGATGGAAGATGACTTCTGGTTTGCATTTCCTCCTCACATGTTGCAGGCCTAAGTATGAGTGTACAGCTCCTGATGTGCGTTTTGTTGATTCTGCCATGAAAGCAAGGGCTGTACCTTGGGTTAGAATGCAGTTGTTAGAGCCCTGACTGGAGAGCTAGTATGTGAAGGGAAACCAGTAGTGCCTCTTCTTCTCCAACACACAATGTGTACCCTGCTGTCCTCAACAACCAGCTCTTTTCCTTTTATTGTTTGGCTAAGGTCTGAAGAAGAACTCACTATATTTGAGTAGAATCCTATAAGTAACCAGGAGCCTTGATTCTACAGAGGAGCATCAAAGAATACAGCTGACTCCCTGTCAGCTCACTAAATATGTGAAAATCCAAGAAGCAGACTCGCCAGGGGCAGCCATGAGTCCTTGGTCTCATCCAGCCTGGCTCCTCTTATGTTCCATGTTGGAGTTGGTCTGTTCCCTGCTCTACACATTCAAGAATACATGGACAGTAATACATGATGGTGGCTCTTCATTCTACGAATCACTGCTCATCACTGAGTTAGTTGGCATGGCACACAACTTGGGGCAAGACTATGACTGCCATTGGCCCTGGCTTTTATTGGAGAGTTCTGTTCCAACACAGAGAGCACTGTCGCTATTCAAAGTGCTGGTAGCTGGCTGGTGACTTTATTCTCTTTTTTGCCACTTGAAACATCACCATCATTGACACTAGGTGACTCTAAGTTGGAAGGTGAGGGATGGACAGTATTCAAGTAAGCAGTATTGCCTCTCTTGCTTCTTCCGGTGGAAGAAAGTGCCCATGAAACGAGACGCAAGGACTGGCGCATGCAGTTAAAAAAGAGGTACCTTTTGCTTGTTCCCTCTCATATATTGGTCTTAGAGATGGGGAGGAACATCCAGTGTTTTGATTTACTGTGCTAGCCTCCTGGGGGGAATCTGCACAGAACAGAGATCAATCACGGGTTTTTTAAAGAACTTGCTTTTTGAAGAGCAAAGGTGCTGGCAAAGGGCCATTTTGTTCCTGTGTTATAGGTGTTGGGAGGATAATTAAAGGCTTTGGGCAACAATGGGGTGAAATCTGTTGTTTGAGGTTACTTACATATTTTAATTATGCATAGATAAGACTTATTAAGTTAGCTGATGGCAATGGCTAAATTGCAAGTTAGTTATCCATTCTTTAAAGGTGAATGTATCAGGGCTAACTTTCAAAATAACAACACCTAATTATCGCTTTTGTGAACTTAGCTAGGAAAGGACTCTTGCCCGGGTAGGAATGCATGCCTAGGGGCTCTGCAAGCCTAACCAGAGTGAGGAGCAGATGGCTGGAGACCAAATTAATGTTTGTATTCAAGGACCCTTTTCAAAGCCTGTCAACAAAAAGGATACATTTCCTTATTTTGGGAAAAGCCATCTTGCATTGTGAGATTTCAGAAGAGCAAGACAGGTATGCTCTCTTTAACCAGGTTTGGGTAACGACTTCATAGCAGGGCACCAATGGGCTGAATCCCAAATGTAGAACATGTAGATGGAAGGTTCATCTGGCCCTGCATACTACCATTACTGTAGTATTAGGTAGCGAGGTAGGGTTGGGAGAAGGTGACAAATGAGGGTTTCTTTCTGGCTGAGAGAACAAGCAAACACATTTGTGGCTAGGGAGAGGTGTGCATTTCCCCTATTAACTGTGTGTGTCCCTTGTATAAGGTCTGCCTCAGGGAATCACTTCATACAGCTGCTGATTGCTGCATGATGGCCTCCAAGAGGTGGGGCTGTGCACAGAGCCCCTTTGATTTCCACAGTTGTCACAAGCCTTTTTAAGCCCTTCTGATTGGGCGCACCGTGACCACTCCCATGCAGAGACTCTGGTTCACACAGGTGGTGTCCTTGTGGGCTTCTGATGGTAGATTTACTGGCAGTCTTGGTACCATAAGCCAGTACATTGGGTCCACCAGCTGTATCATTTGGGAACCGTGGAATTAAGGAACTCTTAGAAGGGAAAACAGAAGTGGGCAGATCTTCACTTCCTGCTCCTTAGAGGCCTGAACTGTCCAACCACTGCTGATTACTTGACTGTTCTTGTTAAATACTTTGGAGCTGGCCAGTCAAACTCTCTGGGTGTCCACTGGAGGTACTAAGGAAAAGCCAACTAAATAAAAATAAAATGAGGTAGGTTAAAAACAGCAACACAGATCCAATTATGTTACATCCACAGACCAATGGGGGAATCCATGCTTGGTGATAGTAGAAATGTTGCACATAAATACTGAAAATAGGAAATAATTATAACAAAGCATATAAGGACACAGGTAAACCCAAACTAATTACATACACAGTTCTGCGCGCATATTGGTGTTCATTATATAAGTGGGCAGCAAAGGAGGGAAGCTAAATGATGAATCTAAATGTCAGATTCCTGGCCAACCAAGCCTTCCTTCCAATCTGCTATATCATACTCTTCCAATGTTCCTATTGTTTGCACCAACGGATGAAGATTTCATGAAAATTTTTTCATATTCAGAACAGGACACCATCAAACAAAAAGTGTCCACCAATATTTGGGACTCCCAGTTTGTCAAGGTTTAAATTTTGTTGGCTCCTGGTGATTTTAAAGGAGGAAAGAAAAAAGCCAGTATCTACAAAGATCATGCCCCAGAAAGCAAAGCACAACTGCGCAGAGTAGGTAGGATCCAGACTAAATGCATTTGAGTGAGATGCCTCATTCACAAAGCAGTTAAGTGCACTCTGTCACCAGTCTTCAGAGTGTTGCTGTATCTCAATTCATGTCTCTGCCTGCAGTTTCACGGTAATACCTTTCATCTTACAGCTTCAAAAGGCAAGATAATAGTAAGGCCAACACTGGGAATGATTGACAAGGATGGCACTGCTGTTCCTCTCAATGAGCACCATTATGTGAAAAATCCGTAAAGTATGGACTGACAGGTTGACAACAAAAAAATTGTACCATAACTGCATTATAGCGTAAGGCTAGTTTGTTAAGCCATTTAGGATTGATTTCCCAAAAGAAAGGGGAAAAATCTCTCAAATACTCGCATTTGGAATTTGTCGACCTGATTGTAAAAATAACACAGAAATGTTGGTAAAGGCAAAAGTTTAGCCAGTTTTGTGGTTAGGGTCTTCAACACAAAGATCAAATGGTACATTTATTGTGCTGTCTCTCACCAGTTTTAATTGGTAACCTTACAACATACTATATAGTCAATGCTAGCAGGCAGACAAAATTAAAAACAGAGACTTTGTTTGACACTTAGATCTGTCCCCATTCGTACAAAGAGAGGGACAAGGAAAAAGGAAATTCTTTTAAAAACCCAAAAAACTGTATAACCGACTCTATCACAGCTTAATCTTATGACCTCAAAGAGATTTATTCTGCTAAATCTCTTGTGGCCTTGTCCATTTCTGCCCAAATACAGTGTTGCATTCTTGTGATCTTGATTATACTCCATTCCTAAACCACAACAGGAAATGTGTGTCGTATTCTTGGAGTGTGTCTGTGTGAGTGTGAGTGTGTTCACAGAAGGAAGCAACATGTTCCACAATATCTTCTCCACCTGTTTCTACAGCATCTGTCCACAGGTTCCAATGTTGATTAACATTAAAAAATATATGAATCCACGTAAGCACTGAGTGCCCTTTTGTTACCAGTTCATCATGGAATTTCTGTTGAGGGTCATGAAAAAAACTTGGCTACTTCCTCCGGATCTCACTGATGCAAAAAATACCTGTGTGGGAGGCAAATAACCCAATTTATTGAATTGTAAGATCATTACATATATTTAAAAATCGGATATGTGTTTGTTTTAGCTTCCTAACTTGTTAATGCATTTTCTTTAACTATTATATTGCAGTTCTTATCTCAAAGGCGCACAACACTTTTACAAAACAAGATGAATTATATGAATATATAATAACCCCAGGGTTTGGGCTGGTTATGGTATAACTCAAATCCAAACAGAATTATCCACTTCTCCATAGTTAGAACTTTACTAAATAGCATGTTTGGGTAGGTCCAGTGTATTGGGTCTTCTGCAGGAATTTTTTTTCAGTGGGTAGTTATCACAAGAGTTTTCTAAGGTTAAGCATCTTGACATTGCCCTTCTCATGAGGAGGGCAAGCCTAGAGACATTATTGGTATTATTCAACATAATTGGCAAGACCAGAGTCTGATCATATTGAAGCAACACTTTAGAATTGTCTTATTTAAGCTAGGTTTTAATGACTGGGATTAATAAACTACTGTTGGGTACATTTTAGTTAGTAGAACTTAAAAGCACTTGTGTACTAAATGTAGGTACTAAATAGCATAATTTCTAGTGGTATTGTAAGTAAAAGAAGATGGAAGCTGCATGGTCCAATTTTTCCCACCCCAAAAGATTTTAAAGGATGTTTGCACTTTCCAACAAGTGGTGAAAATCACTGAGCCAGATACTTCAGCAAAATTCAAACTATTCTGAATTGCTTTAAATTTTTCTTTTCTTTTTGTTTCTTCCCTGCCCTAGTCTGCCCCCTCCCTCCATTTTCTTCCTGTTAACACACTCTCATTTACTGGTAGGACAGTGTTGTTAACCTTCGATGAAGACAGGAGAAAGCACTGGTTTTTACAGCAGGCCCAACAAGGTGGAATCAAAAAGGTAGCAGAAAGAATGGACCAAGAAGACTCTCCAGCGGTAGTGACCTGCAATGTCTGTGCAATGTCTGTTTTCCTGCCTGAGGGCAACGTGGCCTACACATGCAACAAGTGCAAGCTAGTAGCTCTGTTAAAAGAAAAGGTGAGAGCACTAGAGCAGCAAGTGTCCACCCTCAAGGAAATAAAAGATGAAGCATTTTTAGACAGGGTGGTGGATCTGCAACACCTAAGAGCTAGAAGTGGAACAGCAAGCTGAGGCAGAAGAAGAGAATCCTGAAGAAAGGGAAAATGAGGAAACTCTCTGGGAAAGGGTGACGGGGCAGAAGAGCTAGAAGATACTCTGTTCCAGTGGAAGCAGTGGAACTCAAACTGCTTTCAGTCAGGGTTAGGGTTAGGGTGATCATATCTGTATAACTTTCTTTGCCCCACTGGAGGAATCCTCTTCAGAGGAGGAACAAGAGTACTCAGAGACCAAGAGTGCCCCAGATTAGCCAAGCAGATTATTCAGAAGACCAGAAGAACCCAAGGTCCTTGGTGGAGGTGGCTGCAGGTCCATTCTGAAAGGGGCAGAGGACTCTGTCATACAAGATAAGCAACCCCTGGGAGAAACCCGAGAATCAGTCTCCCAGCATCCTGGGCTTCCTCTTGTGCTTGGCCTGGTCTTCTGAAGTGAGCCAAGGCAAGAGGAAGTCTGTGAACACTTGAGGAGCCCTGGTTGTGCAACCAGCAACCTGCTTCTGTCTCAGGGGCATCAGCCCAAATGGCAGCTGCAGGCAGCACAGAAGGACGCTGCTACTGAGGCTCCTTGTGTGGGGTTCCTTTCCTGGTAAGCTCCTTGTGCAGCTGCCCGAATGGAGACTGCACTTGGCACAGGAGAGTGGAACTGCTTGTGGTCATGTGGGGATCCTTTCCTGGTGAGCCCCTCACAACCAGCCTTCTCTAGCGTTGGATGCAGCTGCCCAAACAGCAGTTACATCTGACATGGGAGAGGGATGCTGCTTGTGGAGTGCATGGGGCTCAATTCCTGGCAAGCAACCACACACGCTGGGCACACTTGCCAGGAACTGGGATTCAGGGCTGCTTTGTAGCGGCCCAGAGTCTGGCTAGCTGAGCCCAGGGATTATGATGGATTTTTCACCCCTGAATGGATTCCTCACGCATCTCTAACCATAGGACCACCGTCACTTTGAGAAGGACTGTTCAACTACGAAAGAGGAAATGATTCCTCCTGGGTATACTTTTGCCAAAGGGCTATGATTCACTACAGCTGAGCCCTGAGTAGGGTTCAGGAGGCTCTGGCAATATAAACCTTCAGCAGTGCAGGAAACAATGCCATTACCTCAGCTCCAATGGTTTTTGCCTTGCTTTTTTGGCTCCTGCCTTGATTGACCCTTTGTTCTGCTGAACCGTGGAGTCCTGCCTCTCTGCTTCTGAACTGCTTAGCACACCTGACTGATTAACTGTGCTTTGATCTTTGCTTGCATCTTGACCACTCCTGCTTTAGCCTGATTTCCTCCTTACTGAGAATCCTTTCTAAATGACCAATTGCCTGCTGGTTTCCTTGCCTTTTAGATCACCCCATGACTTACTTTGATACTAAGTTGAATTCAGCCAAAGCATTCAGTGACAAAGTACATTAATGAAATCCACCAGATTTGATTTCAAGATGATCTAGACAGTCTCAGGGAGTTACAGGCACTTGCTCTGCACTTGAGTAACTCTGAAAGCAGACTTACCTTATCATTTCTTTCACATAGAAATTTTAACCGCTGAGCACGCTTGTGCATAAATACACCATCCAAATGTCCTGTCTCCACTGAACGTATCTCGATAGCTTTCTCACCCCAGCCCATTATTTGATTTGAGTGGATGTAGGCTGTCAAAAAATAAAATAACAACATAAAAGGCAATATATTCTTACTGAATTCAGACTAAAGCAGGTTTTCCCATATGTCACACCTGGTAGGAAGCTACCAATGAAAATGTCCTAAGATTGAAAACTCAAGCCACTGGCGGCCATCCAGGTTCCATCATCTGAACCACAGAGGATGAAATTATCTAGAAAAATAACCAACTCCATCTTAGAATTTTCACCTCACTCTCAGTGTATAAATAGCTAAGGAGAAGAGGAAGAACTGACATACCCACTGAAGTGGGCATTTCTCCCCACTGGAGTACCACGTCTTTTGTTATGCGTCCATAGGTATTAACGTATACCCCTTCATCCTCATAGCACACAAGCATCTCCATTCCATCCGTTTTGGGCAAGATGACAATGGCGTGAGGCGTGATATTGCCCTGAATCTGTGTATAGAACAGAACCCCCCCCCAAAACCACTATTAAAGCAAGTTTGCAGGTCAAGAAAAAAGGACCAATGCTCTTTGGTATATGCCACCTTCTCTTGGGATTATTAGACCAACATCACACTACCAATTCATAACTCCATTAAATTTAGCCTGCACAATTTGCAGTTCCTGAACTGCTCAAGGCATACAATCATATTCTATAGCACGGTAAGTAGTTACCAAAGCTCGTATCATGGTTCGCTCACAGAATTGGAGGTTTATCAAGCACTGGGTCAGCCACAAAACATACCTGGCATGGTATGAACAGCTTGTGGGATGTAGAACCCTTTGTGTGACCACTGATGAATTACTTTTGAGTATAAACCAGTTTTAATCCATTGATATCAATGGGGTTACATTGGCTTATATCTGTCTGCTTAATTGTATTCATCTCTGAAATATTTATAATGCCAATCTGCAAAAGTCTGCTCAAAGCAGTTTGAATACAAAAATATTTTAAAGTATTTTAATAGCAAAAGGGAGAAAAATAAATATATACTCCAATTAAAACAGCAGCATTACAAATTCTTCCAACAGCTGAAAGGCCTAAAGGATTTCCAATTGCTGTGACAATCTGAAGAAATAAATGCCTTGTAAATTAAAAGGAAAATAACAAAGCCTTCATTTTACTGTGACAAGGTATAAAGCAAAGTAGCCTGATGGGTTTGCTGGAGCAAAGTATTCTAAAGCTGAGCTTCATCTACCAAAAAATTCCTACATGTCCTGTGCAAACAAATGTCCTTTGATGATAGCACCTGAAACAAAGTTTCTCCAGAGGGTATGGATCAATTTATTAATAATCATAGCTAAATGCCATATAATTGTCCTCATTTCATAGTAGTGCATCCAAAAGAGACCCGCTTTTTAAATCATTGCAGGCTATATAATCCAGTTTGTGCAGTACCATCATGTTGCCTCAGACTCACATGAGATGGTATATAGATATCATAAGAATTCCCCGAATCCACATCAATAACATGGAAGCCAGTGTGCGAGCCAAAGATGACCTTTAACCGCTGCCCTTCTTCTACGGTGAGGTCAACAAGCAATGGTTTGTGCTGGAGATCTGCAAAAGACTTTAAGAATTCCTTCAGTCAGTTTTTAGGTATGTTCGATAGTAATAATAAATACCAAATTCCTTAAGTGTGCTGTAGCAAGTTCTCCAACAATGAGGTCATTCCAATCATTGGATGAATGAAATCTTGGAGTTTTCCCCAAAGGAAAACTCCATTTTTCAAAAACTACTGATCATTTTTGTCCTGGTATTTATTTTTCAAGTGCATGTACCACATCCCAAGAAGTATCGAAGCAGTGAATATAAAAAGAATACCATGAAAACAAACATACATATTTCAATAAAACAACCCCATACAAAATTAATCAGCAGCAAAATTGCACACTCTGCTGTGTGTTACAAACCACAGTTGGTTGGGGCACACTTCAAAGAAAGCTTGCGTGAATGAGATGAGTTTGAAGAAGATGTTTAAACATCAGATCCATGGCAGCCTGCCTAGGGGGTGAGTCCTGCAATATTAAATGGTCTACTGCAGATGCTCCTGAGGCAAACCCAATAAGCACGTCATATCCCCATAAGTTCTCCTATGCAGTGCACCAAGTGCTAGAAAGGAGGAAAGGGAAGAGAGTATTTTTGCCACTTCCCATGGCTGGAGCACTCCCTCAGCTCCTACTTGCAGGGAAGGAGAGTTTAGGGACTGCAGGTATGGTTGGGAGGGCCATAAATGCGACCTAATTTGTATTTAATCCAAGCTTCAGAAGAATTCAAATCCCAGAATGGTCATTTTTTGTTTGAGAAAAAGATTAGACACTCCTCAAAACCCATATTCAAACCATAGATGGGTTTTAATTCTCTGCTATGCTACAACTGGATACATAAAAGAAGCAAATGCCGGATTTTCTTATTCTTTATAAAAGTTTCTATAAATGTATGGAAAATGCTAATATTTTATAACATACCTTAAATGCCATGAACTTGTGATATGGTTTAGGAGCCCAAGCATATATTTCTACAGCATTCTTTAAGGCAATCACCAAGAACTTGATTCTCTCATATTTCACTAAAATTGAAAGAAAATAAAATGCTAAAACATGCAATTTACTCAAATGGAATGATTTACCTTGAGGAAGCTCTACTGAAACCTTCTTGCTCTATACCAAAAACCAGCAGATGGATTTCCAAGGTGGTTCAGACTGATTTCAGGTGTTTCATATCTCTGGGCTTCTTCTCTAGGCTTTTTATCTACAGTTTATCTAATCTCATTGATACCATGTTCCACTGGAACCCTCCCTATAGGACTAAAATAACTGCACCCTAGGTGACTATTTCCTCTACAGCTGTTATAGGGAAGGTATTAGTGGAATATGGTATCAAGGATAGCATGTAACAGTCACTGTTTTAGAGTTCTTTGACGGCGTCCCCAAGACTGAGCCTTCTAGACCTCAGACTATAGGATTAAAATAACTGCTGGGACTAGGAAGGATCAACATGGGGATTCTCACAGCTTTTGAGTGGTAGGTGAATGGCATGCTCAGCACTAAAGAGCTTCCTCTTGGAGTGAAGCTGCACCTACACATACGGTACAGCACTTACCGACTTTATAATGTATGCAGCCTTCTAGATCTCCAACAGTGATCCAACCTTGCTTCTTTTCTACCTCTGGGTCATTGTGTAATATTCTGTTCCTTAACCATGAAAGATAATAAACTCGTAGTTTGTTCTTCTTTCCTGTTGAAACATGGAAGTTCATTTTAAACCAACAATCTACCATTTGATCAGTTACAGAAACCAACTCGACTGCATAGTTTTTTGCTGCTTCCATGTCATTCATATTATTTATACACTGCCTGGTGCCAGCTTGTATGTTGGAATATTACGTTTAGAAAAGCTAATTTTTGGAATATTAAGTGGAATTTTCATTTTGTACCTAAACTGAAGGTTTATAAGTGAAGCTTCTTTCTGAATGTGTATGTGTACCTGCAGAATTCCTCTATGCCAAATGTTTTATAATTATGCTTTTGTTGTTGCTGTTGTTGTTATTTTTGGCTACCTGGAGGGTGGAAGTCTTTCAGACTTAAGGGCTGGGTATAAATAGACTAAAGGCTGTTAGCTGTGTGAAAAACATGGCAACCTCTACTACAGGAATAAAAACAATGCCTTTGCTGTGTAAACATGCATATGAAATTGGTCACCCTAACTAAGCATGAATGTCGGCATGGTTACAGTTTTCAAAGAATTACAACACAGAAATTGGGGGTAGGCTAACTAGCTCCCCTGGGCTGTTGTGATTTCAGATGCCTGTTCTCTCTTGGCAGATTATAGCCTGAGGATTGGTCAAGAGGGAGTGAGGCTGGCAAACAGTCTGGGGGAGATGGGGACAGACAGGGAATGAACAGGGTTCATCAGAATTCTTCAGAATTAGAATGGTTGGAGTCGGTTTTTCAGGACCACGGACAGCGTGCAGGGAGCAGTCTACTAAATGTGGCAAAAGCTTGCTCTTGGAGCCAATCTACAAGTTAGCTTTCCTGTACAGCTGGCCTTAGAAGCAGGTTGGTTTTATTACTCTTTAAAAACAACAACAACAACAACAACAACAACAACAAAAATAATTGCCATTATTCCTTCTCATTCTGGATCAGAACTGGGAGAGGTTTTTTAAAACTCTTTGCCCCTTGCTGAGGTCTCACTCCGGATCAATAGCCCTGGGCCTACAGTTTGCACCACAAAAGGGGGATCCACTGAAACAAGCATGTTGACTGGGCTAAAGGGTGGTGGAAGCAGTCAGGTAGCCACCTGGTATGGTACCACCTTGTATCCTCCTAAGGATCTGCTCCTGGACATTGGGGGACATTTAGCTATGTTGTGAAATATACTGTATGCAAGTGTTGGGGAGATGCAGATAGGGGAGTCAATATAAAATCACCCCTCTTGCATGTACTGAAAAGAAACCTAGAGTTTTAGCCAAAGTGTCTAGTCATAAGCATAGGATAATGCAAGTTTCTTCTTTCTCTCCTGGCTTCTTTTTACGATGTAAATGCAAAACAAACCTTGGCTTTTGCTGGAGGGAGAAATGCAAGACTGGGCAGATGGAAACCAGGAACAAAGCAGAAGCACTGCTACAAGCTCATGGCTGTACCTGAGATAGTTACAAGGACATTGAGTCCTTCTAGCACATCCATCTGTTGGAACCGCCTCCTGTTGATTAGATTGTACACCTTCCCTTGTCCACTCCGATCCAGCAGCATAAGTCCATTCTCTGTTCCCACCAGTAGGTTGACACCTGAGCAGTGAGCAAGCAGAGGGGGCTGATGAACACAGGATCTAGATCAACAACAGTGCTTTCATCAAGCATGAAAAGGACTAACTAGAAGGGATGGGCAACTATTTTTTAAAAAATGCACTTCCTAATTCACCAGGGACACTTATTAGTGGATTAAAAGTATTTATTATTTAACATAACAGTCTGAAATCAATGAAATGAGCCCAGTGCAATCCTTTGGTTGCAGGTAAGCTGCAATCCAGGTAAGCTGCCTGTGGAAGTTGTTGGATGGCAACTCCCACCAGCCCCAGACATGTAATGGTTAGAGATGAGAAGTACTGTAATGTAACAACAAATTCTGCACCTCTGACTTAGGAAATTCATTACTCAATAACCAGTGCTAGCTCCTTGTCGATTCATGTCCACAGGGCTGGACCAAGACATTTTTGCCCAAGCTTATGGAATCTAAATGGCACCTTCTGTTGGGTTTTTGCTCTTTAATGCAACCTTTAATTTACCACTTGAGGCAGCTGCCTCACTCCATGCCATGATAAGGTCAGCCCTAAAAGATGTGCAGCTGAAACCTCTGGACTAGGGAGTTTGTGTGCAGCCTTCTCTAAAGCAGTGCCTTTAAAATGTAAACACCATCCATTTCAGCCAGTGTACAAGGTGTTTATTTATGTGTTACCTTTCTAGTAACTAATGTGACATCCGAACACACCTATTTATGGGATGCCTATTTAAATTTATGGACACAGATGTTAATGGACTATTAAGCATCTTGCTTGCAGTACAGAATGTTCTGCCTTCTGTCCCTGGGCTTCCTTCTACCTTATAAGAGAGTCAGTGTAAGCAGATGCATTGACCTATTATCTTTTGAACAGAACTATTATTTACTTTCTCTTAGCATGCAGATTTCATTTTAATTTTTTACAAAGATAATGAACACATACCCCAGAGAGCAGCACAAAGAATTTCTGAATTGAAGCGTTTCTTGTACTTTCGGATCTCTGGTGTGTCACTATGAGGACGAATGTTGGTGGGATTCACGTTGACTACTGAAATTTTTCTTGCTTCGTTAAGTTTGGCCTGTTCTTGCCTCAGCAGCTCGCTAGTAAACAATGCTGGGAAAAAGAAACCTGCCATAAGCAGCTCTGGCAAATACATAAGAGAGCTTTTGTCAGCTACTAAAGGGCCAATTCATACATTTCTAGAATGGTGCGAGAAAGGTTTCCTCTGGCTTTTCTCCACACTTCTCTGGCAATGTATAGATGGAACTACTTCAGCGAAATAGCACTGTGTGGCTTCTTCTTATGTGAAAGTCAGCTCGAGCCCAGAGAGTGCAAAGCCAGAGAAAGAAGGAACATTATCACTGGCCCCATCTACCCACACGTCACTGGGATTCTGAGGGAAGAAATCAGGGGGAAACAGCTCCCTACTAGTAGCATAACAGAAACATTGAAACCAGGAAGAAGATACTGATTTACTTTCCAGTGACACTTCAGTTGTAAACGGTGTACAAAGTTGCCCTTGAACCAAATTTGTAGAGGGGCAGTATACAGAAAATTAAAACATAAAAACTAATGAAACAATTCATAGTATTCATCTGTCAATCTTTGATGAGTATTCAGTGATAGTTTGAAAATCCTGAGTTTTTGCAGTTTATAATTTAGGTTTCCACCCCAGTCAATACATTCAGAGTTATGTCACGTTTTCCCTTAGGAAGGCGCTTCTATTGCAGAGGTGCTGCCGTCTCCCGAGCAGTCAAACAGTATTTTTGTTTCCTAGAAAAATGCAGTTCTTCCCTCTGCTGTTAGTAGGAATACTGTGTAGAATGTGGCAGTGTGAGCACATGATGGGATACCACCTATGGAATTATTTGTTGTGAACAAGAATATGAGACATTTCTTCCACTGCATTTTGTGATCCATTATGCTTTTTGCTTCATCATTAAAGCATTTTTAGAAGTTGCTTAAACATTTCAGCATTTGAAAAATGTATCAAGAAAAAATGACTCTCAAATATGGAGGTATGTTACACTTTTAATTGGCAAATGTCATAAATTCAACCTATCCTTTTTAGCAATGTCTTTCACATTTTCCATTTGTATTTATTTAGTTCTTCAATAAATGCCTGCTCATGAGCTTTGACACTGCCAGGGTTTAGCCCTGCCACATGTGGAACTTGGGGGTCAAAGGATAAATGGGGTGGGGGGCAGGAATCCCTTTCTGCCAAAACACCAAATGACCCTGAAGTGTCTACAGATCAAGGCATGATAGCTGCAGGACCAGAGGGCTCCAGGCAGGCTTTTGGACATCCTCACCCCAAGCCTTGTGATCCCAAGGTCTTCAGAAACAAAGAAACAAAACACCAGAAAGGAGCTCCGCAGGCAATGCTGAAGTGCCCAGCTAGCTACTTGTCTCTTGACTTGGGAAGAAGAGAGAACACATAACAACAGATCAAGGCCTGGCTGAAAACCAGGAAAGAGTGAAGCCTCCAATTCACAGAAAAAGCCCTCCATTTGAAGTACATCACTGCTGAAGAGAAGCTCCCTGACAGCTCCACTCTCCATTGCAAAGTCCCCCCTGGCCAGGGAAATGGGCCGATGCTGACATGCACATTTATTTGAATTTTGTTTGTAATCAAGTGGTAAAAGCATGAGGAAGGCTGTCACTTGCAGCAAGTCACCCCTATAATTTATGCAGTAGAACTACAGATGCTGTGCTGGGACCAGCAGAAGTATAACAATAGGGAGGAAAGAGCCTGTATTTGTAAAAATTATGTAGGGCCCCAAAGGATCTAGAAGTTAGGGGCTATTGTGGGACCAGAACAGACCAAGCAACCTGAATAATAGAACAGAGATGTGAATAATGGCTTTGATCTGTTGGAGGAACTTCTATCTCTGAAACTAAGCAAGTCTGTGTTTTGAAAGCTCTTGGATCAGAGTCGGCTGAGGAGGTCCATGTATGAAGTCCTGAGCAGCTTGGACTAGATACAGCTGTAACCAAATAAATACACAAATGTTCCTTCACAGAATAAAAAAGGAAGATGCTGCTTTCCACTTTACCTTGGTACCTGTTTGGTTGTGGGGAACTACCATCCAGCCATTGTTGGCAATCTTTTATCTCCCATATCCTTTTTAAAAGCTCAAACTGTAAATAAAAATGAGCTTGTGTTTGCATTCTGAGCAAACCTTTTGGAGTTAGCAGCATTTAAAATCCAGGCACAGGAGTATTTTGGCTCGCAGTAGCCACAATAAAATTCCGTGTATTTTGGCACCAAACTGACAACTTGTCAGTCATGAGTATCTGCCGGGCACACACAGGTATTGAGTTTTTGTGTGTTAAAATGATGCTTGTCATGCTGCCACCAAAGCTGGAAACTGCAATGGATTCATGTGACCAGCTGGCCATGGACTAGAAGCCAGCATGTTGCATGATGTTCCAATGCTTTCCCTTAGAGCTAACCCATGCACAAACAGGCTCCATGTTTACTGTACCCAAAGTAGTTTTCTTCTCTCTGATATTCCCTTTTTTACCTGTAGCAGATGACTCCTCATCCTCATCCTCATCTTCATCTATAGGGGAAGTCTGATACACTCTGGTGTCCACAAATGGGGCAAAAGATGCTTTCGTGCTGCTTCCCATGCCATACTATAAAGTATGAAATACACAGTTGATTTAATGAGAAGGAGGGAAGGGTGAGTTTATTGTTTTTTATTATTTATTTATTTTTATTTATTTAGGGCTTCTATAGGCGGTCCATCACTGTTGTCTCTGGATGACTTACAATATAAGTCCTAAACAAAATAAATTGGTTATACCACGACTGAATATAAAAATAAGATAGTTAAAATAAGTTAAATAAATAAATATACAATTAAAATGGATTTACATTAAAATATTGGTCAAATAAAAAGGTTTTCACACCAAAGCACACATCCAGAATGTATGACTTAGTTAGGGTTAGTTAGTTAGCTCAATAGCACAATAAATGCTATGTGCATGTATAAGAACTCAGGTTCACTTTTGGATGATTTTAATAAAGGAATCCTGGACACAAATGGCTTTTTGACATGAAGCTTTTACCTGGGCACTTCCCTAAGGCTTCTGCCGCTGGATTCTTTGCAGATAGAAACACAGAAACAGAGCGAGCCAGAAGGGGCCTCCCGGGCCATCCAGTCTGACTCCTGGCTCCAGCCCGCTCTGCTCACGACAGTTAAATGGGCTCCTTTCCTTGTGTTTCTTCCCTGAGTTTTTTCTCTCTACCTTTCCCTATGTCTCATTATGCAGCCACTAGGTTGTGCTGTGGTATAGTGGAATTGCACAAATACGGAAGGGTTTCATGTTGCCAGTCCTATGTATGTATGTTCATGTGTGCATATGCACACACTTTCTTGTCAGGGGGAAAAAAGCAAAAACACTAAAACAATCACAGGCAACAGGAGATTATGTTCTATTGTATTTCAATGTATTTTATTGTGTTGTAAGCCACCCCGAGGCTTCGGCAAGGGACAGCATAGAAATGTTATAATAATAACAACAACAACAACAACAACAACGATTATGATGATGTGAAAGCACCTGCAAACTACCATGAGTGAAGAATCGGAAATGCAAAATAAGTGCCTCATGCAGAAAGGCTCCAAGGGTGAGTTCAGATGTGCTTGTACATCAGCTGATGGTTGCAGAATGAGTTGCATGTGTAAAGGAGCCACTGCAGACCTACTACCAGGGGCAGCGCTTCCATCTTCTCAACATCAGTACTTCACTATCAGTCATAACCTCACTCGGAGTGCTGCTTTGATGGCCCAAGATGCTCAGTACTGAACTGACTGTGCTTTTCTGTGGAATTGTTCCATCCTTTCAGCTGTCCTTCATCAAGTGATAGGAAAGCAAATAATGGCACATGCATGCATAGATGAGCCAGCCCAGATGCTAATATCTGAAACCCTGAAGAGCAGCATTCAAGCCCCAGTGACAAAACAAGCCTAGACAAGTTCTTGGCTTGACACAGGACCATCTGCCACTTGCATCCCAAGCCCCCTTCACTTCACCAACCTGTCTCTTCTCATTCAATGGATCTCTGCATTTTCAAAATGTATGAAAGGCAGTGCCAAATTTGGAGATGTTTGCCCAGTGCTTTAAAATGAAAAGGCTTTGAAGTACACTCTCAAAATCACGCCTAACAAATAAGTGGGACTACAATGCAATGTTTTAATTAATGCAGACCTTTCAAGAGAGCATCACCAGGACTGAATTGTGAAGCAGCTGCAGTAACCGTGCCAACTCGGAGAGTGGCAAGCTTATCCCTGCTGATATCCTACTTGAACCTCCCTCCTGCACGCGCCCTATTCTTTAAATAGATGTTGCAGGACCCCTCTGGTCATTCAGAACGTGTGGACTACAGCTGATTATCCCCAGGCAGTGTGGCCATACCGTTTTTGTGAGCCATGATCACTTTTGCTTTGTTTTCCCTTCTTCCTCCCTTTGCCTTAATCCAACTGGAAAACTTTTTAAAGTTTAGCACACATTTAGGGCACTTTTTAAAAAGGCGGACATATAGTCCGTATGTCTACTGTGCCGCTTGGGCACTTTGAAGGGACTGCTACTGTCTGTCCACTTGGAGACTGGGGTGGGGTGGGGGGAACGAACTACAAAAAGAAATGGGAAAAAGAGTGTGGCAAATGGTACATGGTTTGCGGAGCATGGTGGGGCGATCCTACCAGCTCAATGATCTCCACCATGCCATGAGGACACACACATGCACACACAGGCCCTGATCCAGAAATAGCTGCATTATCTTTTGTGGCTGGGGACAATCTGGAAACTCCATATGCAGCTGCCTGGCTTAGCATATGGAGATGTATAGTTCCATATGCATTAAGAGAAGTATGGGAGGAGGGTGGAATGGGGAGAAGAGGTATATGAGAGCATGATCTTTATTGATTTTGGACAAGGATAAGAGAGTGCACTGGGCACTGTTATATCCATATTTGGATCCTTCAAACTATATGCAACTTCTCCTCCTCCTCCTCCTCTTCATTATCATTAGGTTTTATATGCCATCCAACAGCAGAGTCTCTGGACAACTTACAAAAAACAAAACAACAACAACAAACTACACACCAACAAACAACACACTGCATCCAACCATTAATGATAAAATCAAAGATAAAACCAATCAAAATGTTGGGCAAATAAAAAGCTTAAAATGTTGGGAATATTAAAAAAACCTTCAGAAGTTGGCCTTCCTAGATACATCAATAATAAGTACCCATGTCCATGGGGTCTGGATGGGTCAGATGCAACTTCGCAACTAACAACAAATAGCTTTTCCAGTATCTTACCATAAATGTCTCCCAGAGCACAGCAATTACTCATTTATACTTTCCTCCCCTTTTTTGATGTTTACATTGTCAAAAACAGATTACCTGTTAAGCTGAGACAAGGGGGTGTGGCTTTGTGCCACTGAATTGGGTTAAATGATTGACTAGATAGTTGATAAGGTGATAATCAAACCATGTGATTACTAAGTGTGAGAAAACTAAGTTTGATTAGTAGGAAATCAGGGATAAGGAATTCCTAATAATGAGATTGTTGTTTTTTTTGGTAATCTCTTGCTCTGTTAGCATTTAAAAACAAAGATAAAGGTATTTTTCCAAGAGAAAGTTCAATTCTTCCTGATAGTTGTGGAGCCAGGATTTCATGTAACACCAAACCACTTGTTTCTTTGCTACACAACCTGTGGCATGTTTTATTTATGAACTCTCTTAGGGGCTGTAATGATAGGAAGAGGGATGGGGTTCAGTTATTGCTATTTTATGCCTTTTCCTGAGACTCATTTCAAAAAAGAATGTGGGTGAGAACTAAGTCTGTGATCCAAGTTAAAAACAAGAGTTGGGCAGCTGTCATACTAGATAATTGCCTGGCTCATGAAAACATCTGCTTCTTCTTAAAGCTTTCTGAGACCAACACTTCCCAGAGAAAGATAACAATATTGCGTAGCAGAGAAAGAGCAGGATTAAACTAATGAGTGCAGGAGCAAGCATTAAGAAACATATCTCACCCTTCTGAGATTTTATTAAGCACCATATACGTTGGCTTCCAAAGTCTGGTGGCATAATAATGACCATTCTACAATCTCTAAAAATGTCAGTAGAAATAATGCAAATCTGCATTATTTTTCCTACTTAGACCTGGGGAGTGGCAAGGTGTTATTCAGGTCACTGAACTATGCCGTGTCACTGGAAAGCTTACTGAACAAGACCTAGGGCTTCTGAGGACTTGGCAGGTTTTACTCACTTGCTGTTTGGAATTTCAGTGAATCCTTCTCTTCACAACACTAAGGGCTCTTGCTTTAAAAAATAAATAAAAGCACAATGCTCAGGAAGCAGGTTTCTTAGTGCAACTGGGCCATACTATAGCCCTGTCAACAGCATATTGATGGGAATGATGCATGAGGAAGTCTTCCAGATTTTGGCTTGCTTTGGTTATTATACTGCTTCATGCTGCCAATGCTGTAGATCCCCATATTGAAGGATGCCAGCATGCACATTACCATGGATCGCACAGGGGAAAACCAGAAAGTTGATCTAAAATACTAACAGGCACCTTTTTCTGAGGTGTTTCCTGCTACGTGTCTGGATTCATGATCATCATTGATAGGAAAGATTCTATCTAAATCTGTCCTTACCTCTTTAGCCCATTTCCAACAACACAGGTTTATTAAAGAACTGTGACTTTGTTTACAATGATAATCACAGACTGCAAGCCAAACAGGGGAATAACAAAGTCCACTGCAAATGCTTCTTGCTTCTTCAGAGCAAAATGTCAATATGTATACAAAATAAAACCAAAGGGGGAACAGAGTGCGCATTTAACCAAGGAGAATCGTGCTACATACTTCAGTCACAGAGTCCATCTCTTGACCATGGGTGGAGACTCGGCCCAGGCCTTCGGTCGGTGTGCCCGCAGGAGAGTGACTTTGTTGTACCAAATCTGGAAGGTTGACGTGGCCAGCAAAGCCATTGCTGGCTGTGTGGCCAGAGCGTTTTTTGTCCCCAGTTGTCTGCAGAGACACAAGTTATAAAGAAGAGAGAAAGAAAATATAAAAACAAAACAAGGATACCATATTAACCCACAGCCCAAAACAAGTAGAGACACAAGCACTTAAATTGGCTGTCTTCTCAACATGCAAACTCAGCAGGAAGCGACATATTTACCCTGATGAAAGTAAGAGAGCATACAACATAGAGCAAATTCAAAAGCTAAGTGTCTGTGCTCATTCATGCACAGGAAAGAAGCTGCTATGATCATTTTTAAGCCTGTGATGCTAAAAAGCACATTTGAGACACTGTGGTGCTATTTATACCAACTGTGAATACTATGAAATGTGGGATATCGTATCATACGCACAACTGAATCAACACCGGTTTTCTATTTGAATCAGATATTTGGCAGAATCCCATGTAAATATTTGTGGGAATGCAAAGGGCTTCTGGAGGGCTCTCAACCATAACATGGAGATGCTGATTGTTTGACCTGGAACTGTCACACAGTTGCTCACCACACAGCCATAGCAATTTGCACCATCGCAGCCATTTGACAAAGGGTCACGTCATTATATAACTGTGGTTGCCACATGCGTACAACCTCTACATCAGGTGACAGGCAACTTGTGGCTCAACAGATGTTTTAGCTTACAACTCCCAACATGCCTCAGCACAATGCCAATCCTGGCAGGACTTGGAAGAGTTGCGACACTCCAGATATTTTAATCTACAAATTGCCCACCTCTACATGCATTGATTGATGATTGCATTTGTATGCTGCCCCATAGCCAGAGGCTTATGTGAATCTGGTCCATACCGCTAACTGGTGGCTCTGCACACTTCCATGGGAAATAAGGAGGAATTTGCTGTATCTCTGAACTGGTCCTTAGGTCTTTTTAAGGAAAAGCCAGTTGAAGGCTTGCATGTGGAGATGCCTTGAGAGGCTGGTATCACTGGTTCAAAATCCTCATCTCAAAATATGTGGTGGTGGGTGAGCATCTCTTTTTTCTCTATGGCAGTTTTGCTACCAATGTTGGAGGGAATCACTGGACTTGACTTCACTGGCTTTTATGGGCCCTCGGGAATTCAAGTCTGACTTGTGAAAACTCATAGGTATTTTGGGTGTACAAAGTTGCCCGGCAAATTGTCCTTATCATGTCAAGCATGTTGCTAACAAAACAATGCTACAGAAAGAATGTGGTGCCTCCTAATGTGAGAGGTATTTGAGATGTGTCACAGCGGAATACTGCTAATGCACTACAGCACATGGAAGCAAGGCAGTCTTCCTAAGCTGTCTGTGCCTTCTGTCCATAAGGCTTTCTTCATTCCATCTAGAGGTGTGGACAAACAAGGGGCTCCTAGGTCAGATCAAGACAGCTTTCCTTAGAAGCAAAAATGACAAAACTGAGGCTGCCATACTTCAGACACATCATAAGAAGGCAAGACTCCCTGGAGAAGACAACCATGATAGGGAAAGTTGGAGGCGGAAGACAAAAGGGAAGACCAAGTATGGGATGGGTTGACGCCATAAAGGAAGCCACAGCCCTGAACCTGGAAGAGCTGAATGGAGCTGCCGGAGGGCTTTCTCTCATAAGGTTGCCATACGTTGAAGGCGACTTGACGATACAAACTGTAATGAGTTGGGGAAATGCAAAACTAGTTTAATTGTCCCTGGTGAAAACAGCAGTAGAGCTGGGATAGGAAACACACCACTGGATGGTTGCATTCAGCCCTCTTGAGGTAACTTTCATATGTTCTTCAGTCTACTAATCTTAAGACTACCATTTTCCATTAAAAAACTAGAATTTGCACCCTTGTCCTAGTCTAGAAGTTGTACTGTCAAAGGATACTTGTGCCTACACACTGCTGCTACAAACCATTTCCTTCTCACGGCTTACAGCCAGTTCATACATACAGCCAAAGCAAGTACAAAAGATGTGCTAAACTATACTTGTTCATATGAGAATGTCCCTACCCTCGAAGGGAAAAAAATCCTACATGTAGAAAAATGTCAGGGAGAATGCAAGGCTGAACCCTTGTACCTGGCATCTAATTTTTGATACGCAGGGGGAAAGAAAGCATGTGTGCTGCATCATGTATGTAAGTGGACCCAAGAAACGGGCCATAAAAATCTTTTCTATGCGGTGGCTGGCTCCCTGCATTATGTCCCATTCTGAGGACTGCTGTCCACGGACTTACCTTTTTGGTGACTGACTAATCAAATCTAGGGAGAATATAATGTCTTAGATTTGACTCTCACCTACAAGTACGTACTGAACCCATTAAAGTTGTGCCTCCATCTCCCCTCGTGTGCTGGCTACTGCACTGATATCATGGTTTCATTACCGGTTATGTCTGAAATGCTTCTTCGATTTTATGGTATTTTTATTGTATTCTATACTTTTATTTGCATGGATTGTTGTATACTGCCCAGCCAGTATCAGCTATAGGGCACTAGAGCAGTATTTAAATATATAAATAACTGCTATTCTGATGCAAAACACAGCCTTTGGCACAGCTACCAGCAGCAGAAGGCCATATGCGCTCATGTCCCAGTTTGTAAAATCTTGACTTTGCCAGAGCACCAATCCCTTTTCAACCCTGCGTCCTTTTCAAACCAGCTACGGTAAGTTTATGTGATTCAAAACAGCAGTGAACCAGCCCTTGCTTTCCCCCTGCATGGATTAATAGATCTGTCTTTGTCCTGATGGTCACGCAAAGCTCACATTAGCATCAATGACAGTTATGAGCCTCTACAGAAAGCAGAAAGGCCTCTTCTGCCCGCAATTAGCAAAAGGCTACACAATCCAGCAAAAAATCATCTCCCTTTGTTCTCTCTCCTTGCCTCTACAGGCAAAACAGGCTGATCTCAATTGCAAAAAGGCACCATTGGGGCTTCTTTTGCTGAATTACAAACCAGGCAAAAATTGTCAGCAGCACGTTACAGGTGCAACAACCTGCTGTTTCTGCCTAATGTGCCACTTATTAAGGGAAGGCCCAAGCAGGGTAATGTACCTGAAAGAGGTTTCCCCAGGCTATACAAGCAGCATCTGCCACACGCCTTGAAGTTCTCAATCTAATCACTTAGCAAAGAATGATTTATGTAAAAAATAAAAACAAGGAGGAAATGCACTCATCGCAGTATGTCCCTTAACTTGTCTCAGGTTTAAGGTCATATTCAGACATGGTCACAAACAGGGAGTGGGTTAGTAAGGCACAAATACAATTCTGCACATGATCCTAAGTCATTAGGATCTCCCTCCACTTTCTTATGCCACATGGCCCTGCTCAAACTTTGTTAGGCCCACTGGAGACCTCCTTACCGCACTTACCATGGCATGAGCAGGGCCATCTTGGAAGCATGTGCCCAGGTTTTTTTTTTTTAGTAAATCTGTGCTGCTGACAGCAAAGCTGGCAGTGCAGGTGGTGGAGGGAGAAGCAGTACAATCCCTTGACCCACAGAAATTGTCTATCCCTGTTGCAGAGCCTGGTTAAATGCTCTACATCTATGGTTAATCTTCCAACCTTGTAAGACAGACCTTCCCATCTTGTTTTTGGGACAACCAGCATGCCCAGACCAACACACAATTAGGTTATTCATGGGAACCAGCTGGGAAAAGCTGGTCCCTGTACATAGCTCCTTCCAGGTTCTCCTCTTGACTTTTGTGGGTCAACTGGTCCCACTGCTGCACTGCTACAGGGTCTGGATGTCTGGTTCACGTGTTCCAGGGAATGTGAAGACTGTATTAGCCTGTAAATCCTCTAGCATCTCCTGGGGAATGATGCCAGCTAATACTACCCAATCTCAGTGGAATTACTCTTGCCCCTTTCTTTGGTGTGGGCCAGCTGTGATATGATATACAGAGAACTGTCCTTGGGTACAGCTCTTGCTTGCATGAATCTGTACCAGTGAAATTCTCTCACAACAGCACATGATTCTATTGTAGAAGAACCACTGTAAGGTGAAACCACCAACCCTTGCTTATGGAAGGGTATACTTAGCTCAACAATAGCAGCAACCCACACTTCTCTTTCCATATTACAGAGAATATGGCTGTATTTCTGGTTGTTTAATGCACAGTGCCTTCATCCTCAAGAAAAGATTTTGAGGGTTGTCTAACCGCCACCAGTTCCAACTACCTGGATTCACACATTACAACAACTCACGGCAAGCTGACATGGCAACCCCTGCAGACAAATAAGCAACAATGGATTGCCATGTGAATCAGATTTACATGTATGTGGCTGTAGGGGGAAGGGTTGGTTCTGCCTCTACTTTTGAATCCATCCCCAACCACTGCTTGCCCATGTCCACTACCAGATCACCCTAGAGGTAAAAGCCCTCCACGGTTCCACATCCTTTTCTATTGCTCCTAAATCTAATCTTCCGTCACAGGAGCTTCCATCACAGGCTTTTCTACAGTAGCTGGCTAGCCTATGCCTCTTCCATATCATGGCATATCTGCAAATGGCCGTGGCTAGCAAAGCATTGTAGGATACTGGTGCAACGTCTGCAGGAGAAGGATGTACATGACTCCTGGTAGCAGCCTCTGAATTTTACCTGCAAGGATTTAGAGGAAGTATACTAGGTAGTATACTCTCCTGTTCTGAGAGTCCTTGGATTAGTTAATGGTGGAATATAAGTTGACTAAATAAATAAATAAATAGTGATAGTTTTAGGCTTTAGGTAATCATGTTCAAGTACCACATGGCTTTGATTTTCTCCACCACAAGCACTAGAGATTTCAATCAAATTCATTCATCATGTGATGACAGTATGACTGTTTTCCCATATTAATATGCAAAACCACACAAATCCTTAGAACAAAAGTATTTCTCACATACATTGCCCCTTGGGTTGACTTTATAATCTTTCTTTCTTCTTTCTGCATGGCATTGCAATTAGAGTATTCATATAAAGAGGTACAATTAAAGTTAAGCGACTGAGAAGCTTCAGCAGATGGCTAAGGAGGAAATGCAGAGGTGTATGGGACAGGTTTCAGTCTTGCTTCTAATGGTGTAAATGTTGTGCAAGTCCTTCAGATTAGGAGCTTTTCCTGCTTTAAACCAGGATGGAAGAGTATGAGAATCCAGAAACAACCTTGCTGTGTCCTATAGCATTTGCTACTGTTTATACTTTGGAGAAATTTCTTTTGTTTGGATGTTATAATTATATTAATCAACCACTAACAAGCACAGCTTCATCAATCACTTTATGCTCAAAATACACAGCTTAATTATTATTCATAGCGTACAATCACAAAACCACTCAAAGATATTTCACAGAAAATAGTTAACACCCACTTACCTCCCTTATCATTAAAGTCCCTTCTCTTGAAATACTGCTAAATGTATCCGTATGGGATGGCTCTAGGCCATGGCTTGACACCATTCCTAGGTTGTAGGCCTCATTGTTTCCTGGAATTCCTGTTGGTCTGCAAACATAAGGGAAGGGGGAGAAGAATATCATTTGGGGGCAAGTGTTGATTCCCCATGGTTAGTGGACATAACTGGGCTGTGCAGACCAAAGGACCACAGTAAAAATCTTATTCTTAAGGTTGTTTAATGCACAGTGTCTTTATCCTCAAGAAAAGATTTTGAGGGTTGTCCGAGACAGCTCAGCTCAGCTCTACCAAGTTCAAGCCTGTGGCTTCCTTTATAAAGTCAACCCATCTTATATTTGGTTTTCCCTTTCCCCTTCTGCATACCATGGATACTAGGGCTATCTCCTCTCTTTATATCCCTAGTATCCACGATTTTGTTGAATCCACTTTTATACCCATCCATAGTGAATTCCATACTGTGACTATGTGCTCCATGAAGATTATGAGCCAAACCTGGTTACAGATGTTTCTGATAGCTCTCTAGCAAAAGGGCAAATCTTTTAGTAATATCTGAGAACAACAAATTAGAAAAAACAACACACAGATCCCAGAAATACATATCTTCAGCACATCAGGTTGCAACACGAAATTGCAGCATGGTATAATTTTAGCCATATTAAACAAAATAAAAAGAAAGTAACTGCCCAGAATCTACCCATAAACATTTGGAAGGCCAACAAAAATAAGCAACAGCTGTTCATGTTTGCCTGAAGGCAGAGACTGACCTATTTGCGGTGTACAGAAATCTGGAGTACAAAAATTTCTAATAATGGAGCAGATACTGCTGTTGGCAAAGTGTTGTGCCAGCCTGCAGAACACTGAGGGACTGACATGGTCAGTGCTGTTTCCAGAGTGCCATTCCAAATGCATGGTGTAATTATCATGGGTTCAGCTTCATGAAAATGGCCTTACATAAGTCTTGGGATGTCACTGACAGACACTGTCCCATCTTGTGTTTCGCTCTCCCCATCTTCCTCCTCCTCTTCACTGCTTTCAGATTCTTCACTGGAAGAGGAATAATCAGTAACTTTCTTCAAAGGTCGGTTAGTTTCTTCAATGCGCAGCTCCCTCAGTTCTTTCGCTAAGGCAGTCAGATCCTGAAAGAGAAGGGAAAAGATGGAAACCAATGTAAGTTTCATCTAAGACCTTTAGAGGGGGGAAATGCCACACACATCTGACAGAAAGCTGTACTGAGGAGCACAAGCAACTGAAAAGAATACATTTATAGTATTCTTACAAACATAGAACAAATATAACAACACAGCATGTAGCTTTCATTAAACAAAAACGGGCTTTTTGCTTATTGAGAACTCAGCAGCCAACCTGCTAGCTTTGTATCACCACGTAGGTGTGAGTTTTAACTTCAATGCACAAGTGTGGCTCAAGTCATACTTGTTAAAAGCATGGACTTCAGTCAGCATCATAGTAAACTCAAAAATGATCGCATTCATGGAGAGTATTTACTGCATCCTAAAGACACTCTGAATTTCCACAAATTTCAGTGAAGCTTCACTAAACCTATTTAAATGAACCTAAATCTATTTAACTGGAACTGAATTAATTACCTTGGGAGCTCATTTCCAAGTACCTACAGTTTTGCATCATGGCATTTGCACTAGCTGGGTGGTACCTTTGCCACAGGAACTGACATTTCCTTGGTGACTTTCTTTCACATCCATACCACCCTGCCCATCAACCACAAAGCTGACTGGGAGGAGGGGCCTCATTTAGTGAGTTTCCTGTTTATGGTCCCCATCAGTGGCATGCAGGGCAGGGGACAGGAAACTCCTACGATGTCCTGAGTCACACATGATGCTACACTAAATGAACAACTTGCCATGTTTGTGTTTTTGCGGTTTGTTGTGAGTGTGTGCATGTGCTGATAAAACCTAAGCCAGCTGTTTTTCATTTGTTTTGCAGAGTATGACCCAAAGGCAGCAGGATACACTGGCAGCCTTACCGATCCCAAGCAGACACAAGTCTAGCTAACAGCCAGCAAATTTTGCAACAAAAGCATTCTGAACTTGGAGGAAATTATGCAAATCCAATATAAAATTGTCAGACTGCTTATTACAATCTGTTGGAAATGAGAAGCTGGGATGTAGTTACTCTAAAGACTACAGACTGAAGGCCCCAGTAAACATTTTTTGCACTAATTTGCTGTGCTAGTGGCTTTTAAAACAAACCAGGTTCAGAGTCTCTCAAACTGCATCAAAACCATGTGTGCATCTTCTCTACCCTCTCTACAGTTCTGATCTGGACTGTACACTTTGTATTTGCAGTGTAGAAGAGTCCTCACTGACTCCTATGCGAGTTGCTCTTCTATTGCAAATAGTAAGGGCACCACCCCCTTCGTGAATTTGGGCTGGAACTGTAATCAGGGCAACGGGCTTTAGACCTTCCACACTCAATGGTTCCGATCTGGTTTGGTTCTCCCTTTTCTGTTTTGTTAAAGAAGGAAGAAAAAGGATGGGATATGTGGTAGAGTGGGGTGTACAAATCTGTAAAAGTTCAGGGATTGGGTTAATGGAAGAGGGGCATGGAGTTATCAGGGGGAATATGTTTTGAACACTCATCTATTTTTGACCCTTACAGGTACATGCAAGTTCCACCCTCCTTATGAGCTAGAATAGCTGAAACTTTGCTCTTAAAATCGCAAAGCGCCTAAGGTAGGAGTTCCAAAGTGCTGAGGAATTTGACATTCTACAATGTTTAAAGCTGTCATTGAAACCTTTTGCGGCAAGAAATGGTTTTGTACAAAATCAGATTCTACTCCCATGCTAAAACAGTAAGAAGTCCCTAATAAAACATGTGGGCAGGTTACATTTCTGTAACTCTACTCTCTGGCATCAGTTTCTCAGCTAGGTGCCAAATTATTCAGGAGGTAGTGTATTCCTAGAAGATGCCCTTTCTCCTTTAACAAATTAACTCTAACCACTGCTTATACAGGTCTAGTGATATGACAACTAGGAATGATATATAAAAATATGATGTATGCACAAGATATGAGAAACAATGTCACGAAGGGTCCCCTGATGAATTTGTCAAGACCCACATGAATGTACATGTGACCTGCATAAGAAAATACAATGACAATAAACATAGATGTTCTGAAAGCTACTGGTGGAAGAAACAACTAGAGAACTTAACATGGAAACCAACACAAAGAGTTTTCAGTTTACTACGATACTGATGAAACCTTAGACTTCACATTTATAGATTGACAGTGTTATTTCAAGACAAAGGCACTGCAAGCACCAAGTAGAACAAATAGATTTCTTGTAATCTTACATGCTTTTATAGCAATGCAGGGGGAAGCAGTAGGACAAAAATAAGCATGAGAGCTCTAATTAGAATGGGTTAGAACAGTTTATTGCATAAGGCATGCACAAGGTGAACAAAGCAATTGTAATAGTCAGTCTTACCATTTCTCCCTATATTAGTGACCAAGGAAGCCATCAGTGTATTCAGTCAAAGACAGAGAGTTAGGGAGAAAGAAACTCATTGAAAAAAGGGCTAATTTCCACAGTTTTTGTTTTCTTGTTCTTACGGCCATATTCTCTCTTTGCTGCATTCTTCAATTTCTCAAATTAAACAAGTAAAGGTGAAGATGAGAATGATTCTAAAAATGTTCCTTATTGGTGCTTTAAAAAAAATCACCACAAAAGGAGAAAGTGAGCTTAAACCAAAGAGCGGGTTCCTAATGCAGTCTTAATTGATAATTCTGGTGTTATGTTATACTCAGTGATCACTTTAGTGGCCAAGATCAGGATTTATGCCATAAACATGCAGGGTACATCAACACCATTTTCACTATTCATAGATCAGGAAGGTTGAATGCAACTTTCAATTTGGTTCATACTGTGTGTCACCCTAACCTTTTTTTAAAAGTTATGGGCAATACTTAAAGGAACTACTTTGATCTTGAATGGAAATGATGGATAAATTTTAGAGCCACTGAATAGCTGATTTTTTTTAACAAGTAACCACCTGCCCTTTCACTTAGAAACCAATACATCATTAAAAATGAATGCACATAATGCCAAAAAGTTTATATTGGTATCCTTCTGAGGTTTTGAAGGAAGTATAAGTGTAACTTAAAGTTCAAAAGATCAAAGATATTCCTTATTGAAAGGGATTGTTCCTAGAATTTTACAGCATCTCTTTATAAGCAACCAGTCTCAAGGAATGAGAAGTGTGCTCAACTAGTAGGCTCACTGATTAAGTCACCTCTCACAGATTCATCAATTAGAATTTCATTTTGATGCAGCTACAGTTTGGGGCTGTAGTAAATATTCTACAGAAAGACTGGTACTCTGAAGGCAATGTTGCTTGGGCTGACTGTCAAATGGAATCAGAAACAATGATTACAAATTTAAAGGCACATCAAAATAACTGAACTCTGATTCTGCACAGATCAAGCCAAATGCCTTATCAGCTCTCAGGTGCTCTAAAGTGATGCCTAACCAGTGTCTTTTGTAGTGTGGTCTTATCAGAGAGGTCAAGTCTTCCATCTCTTTCTCATGCACAGACAGGAGAGACACATGCACACACACAAACACAGCTTTTAAAAGCATGGGTATTTTGTTCATAAAAGCAAGACCATGATTATTGGTTTACTGTCTCAGAGGAAAAATGTAGTGCTTGTAGCATCTGAAAGGCAATTCCCAGAATTGTTAGTCCACTGCCTAAGCAACAAAGCCTGAAGTATAGGAAGCAGGACTTGCAAAAACAGAAGGTACCAGGTTGCACAGAGTTTTAAGTAATGCTTTTCCACCATGTGTCCATGATCCCCTCAAGTTTTTTGCAAGGAAAGGCAGAGATTATTGGGGGACAGGGATCCATACAGCTGATACTTCTAAGGTTTGAATGAGCTGAATCAACACACAATGCATAATGGAGGAAAATCCTTATTGTGGGTTAGAAATGCACTTCGGCCAAGTCTCATGGGGTAATTTCAAGTGAAGCGAGAGAATTTCCATGTGTCACTCCTGCATGTGAAATAAGTGTAGATATATTAGCTAATTTACAATACCTGCATGAAGACCACAAGATTGTTGAAAATTATGCATCGCTGAATAGTATTTAGCATACATAAATATTCTGATTTAGGAACTGATCATGTAGCACACAAAATGCTGCTGCTGCTGCTGCTGCCCAGCCCCAGGAATCCACCAAAGAAAGCAAGACAACCATTCTGCCGTCCGGGAAAATGGGAGAAAACAATGGCCAGTCCATGCGGGTTCTCTAGGGAGGACATCCTGTGAGGATGGGAGCTGCCCATGGTACCAGAAACTCTGGGACTGCTTTGGGTCTTTTTAAGGATAGAGATTTCTCATATAAATTCTTCTGTGTCTTGAAATTCCAACATGAGAAACAGCCCTTGCATTATCTGTATGTCAGGGATGCAGAGCCATGTTCAAAAATCCCCACCAAATAACAGTTTGGTTGAAGTGCATGGTATACATGCATGCAATTTTAATCAGCCAAACACACAACAGACATGAATGAGGTTAAATCAATGTAATTGACTGCAGACATTAATATTTTACTTATCTAGGGTTTTGGAAATGTTGAGCAGCAACAAGAATGTAGGGAAATCTTTTTGTCATACTTGCTCTGGCTTTGTTTGCTACTCTCAATTTTTAAATATTTGTTTATAAGGGAAATTTATTGCTGAAAGACGAAATGTTTTATCTGTTACAAAGACATAAGAAGACATTCTCTATTAAAAAGCTAGTGGGAGGAGGTTGTGAATAAAAGCAACAATCCAGATCTAATCCAGATCTAATCCAAATACTGCTGCCTACTGGTTGTTCAAAGACTGTAATCATAAGTGTCTAACATTTGCTTCTCTCATTCAAATGGGAAAAAATAGAATATCCTCTATTCTGTTTGGTTCTCTTTTTAAGAATTAGAGAAATAAGGATTTGTTTCCACTGCCAACAAACTTTATAATTAACACTTGGCCAAATTCAAGCAAATATTTTTATTACTGCCAAATCCTTTGGTTTTAATTGCTTGGAGGTTTTTTATTCCTAAAATGAAAAGTAGGCCCAATTAAGATTCAGACAGCATGAAGATATTTATAATACACACTTCAAAGTCCAATAATTAGTGATTCATTCATTCTGGTTGGATTGTTTCCAATTACCTAAAGTAGTGCATTGTACCTCTTTTAAATCAGATCTCTCCACCATGCCAATTTGAAAAATAGGATTGTGAAAAATGGACTTGTACGTTCTCAGCTACATTTTTAAAGCTATTATAATTTGGATAAAGAAAGCATATCTTCACTAATATTGCTCACAAATTATTAGAGCAAGAGACAAAAAGACTCTGTATGGGCCTGAATGGCTAATTTCTTAGGCTTTGAGACTTCCAGTGGTACGAGAAAACAATTAGCATTACAAACAGTGTAAAGTACATGCTGGCATTTGGGACTATATGAACTGAAAATAGATTAGCATGTTCAGAACAGCTTTGTGGAATGGTCTCATTGTGAGATTATATGTTTCAATGCATGTCCTACAATGCATGTAGAAAGCTACACAGGAAGCTCAACTGTACCTCTTCCTGGACACAAGAAAAATGGGCAGGTAGAAAGAAAATGAGTATTCAGCTTGAAAGATGAACTATTGCAAACTGCCTCCTCATACTGAAGCTAAATTAAGATGTGAATGTCTCAAACAGGATAAAAAGAACCACTTTTAATAGAAATTTATCTGCAGGTACAGAATATTTCCCTATTGTTAGGAACTGCAACCTGCACAATTTGTCCTAAGGGCTTCATGAAATTATTTCTGCTTTTCCTGATTTGATATCAGTAACTGAATCAGTGCATGACTATTAAATAACTTTAATGCCATGTGTCTCCCCTCTGATGTGAAATGCTATGAAGTCAAATAGATGTAACAAGGCAATTGTCTATCCTATACATGTCTAACCCGTTTGAAACAGCGTGCCTACTCTTTATATAAAAGGGAGATTTTTTCCACAGAGAGAAACTATTCAGAGTAGTGTGCCTGAGTTGTACACAGGTAGAGACAAGGAGTGGAGAGAGGATGCAGAATATATTCCACTCCACCATCTCATATTCCAAAGCCATTTATATCCCTACCAGGCTCTCACTTTTAACATGAAGAAAACTGCTTCAGGCAGTAAACTGTACAGTAGAGAAAAGGTGAGTTCTCCACATGCTTCCTCTCTGCGTATAGAATAGACCCCAGCCATAAATGTGTGTATGCGAATGCGGCAGACACACACATGGTTACTGTACTGTGACTAGTTGGCCCTAATTGTTGTAATGCTCCTCAAAGGCCACATCTTTGACCATCTGACATTGCGCTTTTAAAATATGAAGGGACCATGGCTGATGCTGCCACTCCGTGTTCAACAGAAGAAGGCCATGCTGAACTTTGTATGGTTACCTGCATGGTTGTAAGATTTCAGGGTTCCTTTTATGAAGCCTTGCATGAGGCAGGAGCCATATCTCAGTGGTGGAGCACATGCTTTGCAAGAAGAATGGCCTTGGCTCAGTCCACATTGTCTCCTGGTAGGGCTTCTGCCTGAAACTCTGAAAAGCTGTCACCAGTCAGGGCTGACAATACCGAATGTAGATTGACCCATGCTCTGACTCAGTTGACAGTCCTTTCCTAAACTCCTATCTGAAAGCCATTAGACTGGAAGTAAGCTACCCGAAAATTGGATAAAAAGGAGACAGCTATGTGAAAATCCCCCCAAAAGCCTAATCCCATTAAAAAAGCCACAAGATGAAGCTCTGAAGATCAACTGCATTCATCTGAAATAATACGCTTGAATCAATGGCTGCCACATGGTAGTAGCTTAGAAGCAATCCCCATGGTGGGTATTCTCATACAGGAGGCAAGCTGTGCACTAGTGTGTGTTTGTGATGGAAAGAGATTTCTCCCTATGGTGACCTGCTCCAGAAGAATGGCAGGTGGCCACTTAGGAGGCATTCACACATTAAAAAAATCAATATGTATGCCTCATGTACCCTCTAAAATCTGATGAGCACTCATTTTCCCCTTCTCCATCTCCATATGCATATGTGCATTATGTGTACGTGACCAGGGCCACTTAAAGCTTCCCAGAGCCTGCACTGTACACGATAGGAAAAACAACAGCATGGGATCAATTCGTACATCATTTGCTCTACACCCAAGCTCTATGACGGGGTTCACCTGTACACATGCGGGGGCTAAAACTGGGTAAGGGGGCAAGAGGACACATGCAGGTCCTGTACCCAATGTCCCTGGGCACGTGGTTTCTTCTAAGACCTGTCTTTGTCAAGCAGGAAGAGCTGCAAAGAGTGTCTACTTGCATTCTGCTCAATACAATATTAGAAGTCCTGATAAAGCAGGGTCACATGGATGCTTCCAAGTGCTCATCAGGCACTGGCTTTTAGAGTACTGCTGCAAATGCTTTATTTCATCCTGTTATAGTTGTAAGCTAGAAATCTACATATGCATAAGCGGCAGTAACTTGAGCTTCCTTTCCCTTTAGCATGTGCCACTCAGATCAAAGTCAGTAAGAATGAATATTTTCCAGTAGAAGCTGCCCACTGAGCAAGTCATATTGCTTGTGACATACTTTACAATATGTAGAACTTGGTGGATGAATGTAAACTACTGGAGCTCATTCCAATCTGTGTAATCAGGACCTAACCCACAACAACATTTATTTTTATTTTATTTTATTTTTTGATTTATATCCTGTCTTTTTCCTACAAAGGACTCAAGACAGCTTACATCATTCTCCTCCTCCATCTTATTCTCACAACAACCCTGTGAGGTAGGTTGGGCTGAGAGTCTGACTGGTCCAAAGTCACCCAGTGGGCTCCATGGCTGAGCGGGGACTAGAACTAGATCGTCTGAGTCCCAGTTCCATGCTCTGAACCACTTCACCACACTGGCTCTTTATAAATTAATAAAATGAATTCCATGTTGCAATCGCAGTGAATTCCTTCTTGGAACATATTAAGCCTGAGCATCGCACATCCAGGGATCAAAATTTGGTCTTGGGGGCATTTGGAAACTTACTGGGGGAAAGCTGCTAGGGAAGGGGAAAGATCTGAAAGGGGGAAAGCAAATCTCTTTCTATTGCCTAATTGCCCCTCTGGAAGTCATTTTTGTTTTTAAAAGATTGCTTCTGAGGGGACAGTATACACATCTGCATGCAACATCTAATATGACACTGCTTTATTTGCAGGAATGTCCAGCATTTTTAATGCAGCTGTGCCAGCTTAAAATGTGGATGTTGCAATTCAAAGCTTTGGGGCTTAGAGACACATTTTATGTAGAGTATTTAATATTCCCTAACCTGAATTCAAGAGGGGACAGATTTCCTATTTTGGTGAAAATGTAACAGAGTCCTGTTTCAGGCAGGTATGCCTTCCAAAGGCAAAAGTCAATTTAACTGGACCTTGTTAAATTTTGTTTCAGAAACACAGGAGGAAATTTGGTCCTTAGTACCATTACACAACTTTTTTTCCATAAACCTGGATATTTTTCCCTTGTTTGCAATGCATTAATCTCATCTTGTACACATTCAGAGCTACTCTTCTGGTAGGTTAAATGTAAGCAGTCTGCAAGTGGATTTCATGGAGCCAAACAAGGAAAAAAAATAAAATAAAACTTTTACCTCTCCACACTATCCCACCCTTTTTCCCCAGAGGTGCTCCCTGGATCTATATACTATATAAAGTCTTTCATCTGGAATCATGATTGTAGTGCCTCCTTTCTGAATGTCAGCAACGAAGAAAATATGGCTTATATTAAGTGCTAACTAGTCACCCCTGCAAAGGCATGACCAACTGAGAAAAGGTATCACTAACCTCATCTATTGCTTTCTTATAGCTCTGGGAGTAAGGGAAGTTTAATCAGCATCAGAGGAAACAGATCAGGACAGGAAAATGCCAGAGGAAAGGCAAGCAGGTTAGAAATAAAATCAAAATTGTTAGCTCAGTGCTGTGAAGTGTAAAGGAAAAAAAAACATCAGCAAAACAGCAAATACATATTCAAGAGAGACTCAGTGGAAATTCCTCCCATATCTTATGCCAATATAGAAATACAAAATGTCAAACACAGAATTAAACCAAGGTGGATGAATCTGTTGTATGTCTTGGTGAAACCTCTAATAAAACTAAGCCTTGTTAAAAGCAGCCACCACAGAGAGTCTAGACCCTCAAGGAGATGTGGGCAGCCTCTTGGGCTACTCCACGAAGTAGATTTTGAAGGAAAACATTCTCTGGACTCTCCCTTTTGTCCGGCTGCTTTTGGTCAAAAGCCAAGACACTGATTAGTTAGAGATATTTCTCCTGCACAGTTTTCATTTCAGTTTTTCTGCTGCTGTTTCTCTGACACCTGGATCTCACCATTGCTATCCTTCTGAGCCACTGAATTCCTGAATGCGAATGGGCACTGTTCTCTCATCTGTGCTGTTTCATAAGAACACAACTTGCTTATCAGTCCTGTTTTGGTTGCAGGTGAAACAGTGATAACCTGCGTATAAGTTTCCTGCTTGCTCTGATAAAACTGGTGGCATTTTAACAGCACCATTCATTCCTTTCTAGATGCTGGTTCTATATAAGCAGAAGAAATATTCTTCTGCGTTTCCAGACTGCAGAACGTGTCAGTAGCTGGACATCATCTTAGGACTGATTATAGGGGGGTGGGCTTTCCTCACAATTAACCTTGTGACAGCAAATTAAGGAAGAATCCACAAAGAACTTAAGTATGTAACTCTGATCAAATTAATTCTATTGAAGGTATACTTATGTACAAATGGTCTCAATCAATGATATGAGTCATGCTTTCACTTATTCCTGTGCTGAATTGTTTTACTGGGCTGCAGCAACCTCAAATCTCCTCAAAGACTGTCTCCTGCAGTCTTTTCCTGCATGTAAGTCTGACTGGGGGGGGGGGGGGGGGGGGGGGACACACAGACAGCAGCACTTGACTCTTTTTCCTTGTTCCCAAGATGGTGGTGAGGTTATTGCCCAAAGAAAAACTCAGCATCTGTTGGCATCATTCAATCACAAAACTTATTTAAAACTCACAGCAGGTCTGCTTGGTCGAGTCATGTCCTTGCTCTCTTCTTGCTTTATCTTAGCTGGCTCATGGGAGAGGATGGGGGATCCTTCAGGCTTGGCATTTCCTGGGCAAAGAGCAAAGCAGGAACAAATGGGATTAAAGACTTTCCTACCTCAAGAGATTGAAACAAAGAGAAAAAATGAGAAAAGCTCTGCTTCAGAAAAGCCTGTTCTCTCTCCATCTGCTTCAGACTCCTTCTTTTTCTTTAGATTTCTTTATGGATATGCATCTCAAAAGATGACGTAGGCCTTTCTAGATACATAAAGGAAGTCCTGCCTTCTCTCTGCTCCTACAGCAGTGCAATTTTTCTTTGCAGCTTAAGGACAGTCTGCTTAGGTTAACCTGTAGCTGTGCAGTATCACTTTCAAATACCTATGTGAGCTCCCAGGACTGAATGCATGCTTTAATAAAACTTCACACATAAAGAACAGGGATGTTGGGGAGAAAGCTAGGAAAGAACATTGCTCCATGGCATCCTAAATGTCTACATGATGGAAATATTTTGTAGGCAACTTTGTCAGCTTTCTGGTCTCAGGATGAAGTAGGACTTAATTGAGCCAAGAAGGAGAAGCAGATGCCAGGTGGTTTTCTTGACCAAGCCTTTGGGCAGTGGAGGTCCAGCACTCTGCCTTGGGTCTAGGCACAATAACTTTGGGGTGGGGTTATGGAATCCAGAAGCCTCTCTTCCTACAAGGGCCTGCCAGCCCTGCCTTTCTGACTAGAAGCTAGGCAGTGAAATTTCTCCTCTAGTGACAGGCACCTCTTGCAAGTGCAAGTCATCACATTTTCAAAGCAAGAAAGGATAATTTCCTCTTCAATGTTGGGGGGAAAAGCTTCATGGCAGAGGCAGGAATGCAAGTCATTGTTGTTTGATACAAGGGTTCCGATGACGGGCCAATAGGAAACTACTGGGTTTGACAGAAAGCAAAAGAAATGAAGAAGAAAGGCAGGAGGTAGGGGGTGGGAAGTCTCACCTCTGGCTCGATTACGTTCACTAGAACCAGCTTGGGATCCGGGTTGTGAGCCTGCCTGGGAACTGGGCTGTGAGCTGGGGGTGCTTGAGCTGGAAGAGCTGCCACTGCTTGTCCTCTGTAAAGGATTTTCTATTATGGGCTCTGTTCTCCGCAGGTCAGGGTTACTAGAAAGGAGAGAGAATGGCTGTTGCTCTTCATGTGTCTTTTAGGAAGCCCACTGTCAAGTTAGTACAAAGGGGAGAGCTACTGACTGCAAATGCAGCTAGCAAATTCATCTCTAATCCATCTCAAACCCATCTCTAACTGTGGTCACCTCTGGGCACTTTCCATGCCTCAGGCTGCTCCCCATCTGCATGTTATATTTGAAAGTATTGCTGGGAATCACCTTGTTAACTTGACTTTGTATACACTCCTTATCCCGTCCCTCCCTAACCTGGTGCCCTCAGCATTCCTGGCCATTGGTCATGCTGGCTAGGGCTGATGGGTGTTGAAGTCAAAAACACCTGGAAGCTAGCAAGTTGGGCAAGGCTGCTTTATATGAGCACCTGTTAGTGCAGAGGAGCTAAGTATGACCTAAGCTGTCCTAGGCTGAAAGCAAACCTGCAGTGCAGGTCCTATGCAATGAGAGCCATGGTATTCTGCAAAGTGAATGAGTTGCAGTGAGTCTTGGTCTTGCATGCTCAAGCTCTGCTAGGTGAAAGCTTTTATTTCTGATTTTTAAATAACCACAGTACTGTTACATCCAGGCTTGAATTCTGATTAATTTACCACCAAAAGAACCTAAGGAAAGCCATGATGTTTCAGGCCAAAGGCCTATCTATTTTAGCATTCTGTTCCCATAGTATGCTTGCAAATTAGACAGGACCCTCCTACTCATGTTTCCTAGCAACTGGCATACTTCCTCTGGTGCTGGAGGTTGCATATAGTAGCCACTGATAAGTTTGCCCTCTATGAATGTGTTTAATCCCCTTTCAAAGCTGAATTCATATGGTTTAATTATTTGAAGCAGTCCTTCCTTTTATCTGCCCTGAATCTCCCACCATCTAGCTTCACTGGCTGACCTTGGTTTTTAGTATTATTAGATCATTTCTTTACATTGTGCATAATTTTATATAATTTTTATAACGAATCATATTATGTCACTACTTGGTTGATATTTTTAAACAGCTAAACAGCCTTTCCCTTTTAGAAGGACTTTCTTAAAAGGACTTGCAACTTTTCCTTTTAGGGGACTCACCCCACCCTCTTGATAATCTAGGCTGCCTTTTTCTAGCTCTACAATTTTTGTGGGGAGGGTGTGCTGACCAGAAATAGAGTTAAACAAACTGCAGTCCTCTGAGTCTAGACATCACAAGAAAACTTCCAATCTCACCGCTGCAAATGTGGAAGAGCCGAAAGTGGTGCAGAAAGCACAAGCCCGAGGCTTGCCACATCCTGTTCATATAGTGCAAAGCTTGGTTTCCAGTAATGCCTCAACGGAGGCCACACATCTCTGTTGGCTTCACTTGGGAAGGCATCCTGAGCTTAGCTTTTGTGAACGTTGTGAGAATTCTGCTAAGAGATCCTCCAAGGTATCTGGTATGTCCGTGTTTGCACTCAGGTCTCAATATTTGCATGGACATAAGCTTCCTAATCAAACCCTTGATTGAAGGCAATAAACTCACAACAGTGCTGTATGTGTCCTGTGAGCCTCCAACTTTGTGTGTGTGAGGGAGAAGGGAGATGGCATTGTCAAAAATGGCTCCATTTACAGTACTAAAAACATACGACTTGTAAGAAGCGAATGAGCAACTTGTAGGTTAATTGTTTCATTCCAAAGCATTTACTCCTCAGCAGCTGCAAATACGGCAACGGATTGCATCTGCTGGGCTCCTTGTCCCTGACGTTCATGGTTTCATTTCTCAGTGGCTTCAAGCTGCAGGCGGCCTGATAGATGACACCTTGTCTGCCAGCTCTGTAACGCTTCTCATTCCGACTCCCTCCTGAAGAGACACGTTGCTTCTGCACATATTGCATTTTGTGCCCTGGCAGCTGCATCAGGAAGCAACTGCTGGGTAGCTGCAAGCCTAGTGGCGCTTCCAGATGGACAGTTTCAAAAGTGTCAGAGGTGTAAAATTATGGGGGACTGAGATGATCCTCATTCTGACTTGCCGCTATGCCAAACAGATGATCGGGCCTGCACAGGTGGCACATGCCCAACCAGCAACTACAGCACAAGGCCCCTTGGCACCTCCCTTTCTTAATGCACCATTTCCCACAAGCACAAAGTAGCACCATGGTGTCAGAGGAAGCCGCCTCCCTTTCACAGAATCATAGGATTTTAGAGGTGGGTGGGCCCTTGGAAATGATCTCATCCAGCCTCCAAACAGCAGTTTGAGCTAATTCATTACAACTAAGTGAGGAGGGACGGGGAAGAAAAAGCAGCGTTGTGATGCAGGATCAAAAGTACAAAACAAATCCAAGAGCCACTGCAATGTGAAGGGTATTGGACCCGAACCAGGGAAATATGAGCTAAAATCTTAGCTCTCTGAAGGATAAGTAGAATGAAAATGTGAGACTCATGTTACATATGTAGTCTAATGATCACAAATGCACACCCATTTTTCCTCCAAAAAGTTGGGATTTTAATTTGAGTCTCTCTGCTTCAAGTCCCATACCCCTCATTGCCCTGGTTCTGGGATGTAGTTTTTCTATTTGCCCTCCTGCTCCATGTTTACTTTGGAATTTTGAATTTAAAATCCAGAATACACATCTGCACATGAAATAGCTTGGATGTGCATGTGTCAGTCTCATGATCTTTCATTTAGCAGAAGATGAGAACAGGACTGCACACACATGTTGCTGGATGTGCAATGGGAATACCTAATCTGTAACTTCCACTGAATGCTTCCAGGAATGCATGAAGGAGAGCTGAGACTAGAGATGTATTTCCTTAGGTGAAATACAAATGTGATTAAAACAAAAGCAAGTTTCCCCTTTCAACTGGACAGTCCAAGAACAGCCATCTGATTTGATCTTGCCTTTGTTTGAAATAGCACAATAAAAGAGAATATCAAACCACTTCCCAAGCAATGCAAATATTTTAAGTGAATTTTCTATTCACATTTTAGTGGTCAAGGTCTGGTAGTCTGGGTGCAGCACTAGCACAGCCTGCTAGTTGGACCCAAGTGTTCACAGAGTTTTGCAACAGAACATTTGTTTCCCACAAAAGCCAAGCTTGGTGTACATTACAGTGCTTCAAAAGCGAGGTGAGCTTATGGATAATTCACAATTTATCTGACATAGCTGGTATGTTAGCATGTGTGCACTACATACAGTTAACCCACACACTGAAAAGGAGAGACATGCACCCCAAACCCTAAGGGATGCAAGTCAGATGCATGCCAGGTCATGGCGCCTTGGTGGATGCTCACTGTTTGACGAGGTACATCCCCCTTTTGCACTGTGTGTGTACTGCAGCAAACGGGGCTGTGTGACAGCATGAAGTCATTAAAAAAAAAAGAGTAGAAGCATTTAGACCCACCTTCCCAGCATGATCTCTTCCAGATGTGTTGGGACTACAGTCCAACACAACTGGAGGGCAGCAGGTTGGGAAAGACTGCTTTAGACTGAGTTTACAGCCTTGCTGGCAAAATGCAAGTTTGTGAACTACTACTAATACAAAGCAAAAAGGCAGGAAGAGTGGGCAGATCATGAAATTTTATGGTGCAGATAGTAGGCCCTGCTAGATTGCATGCAAAAATCTTCACTAAGTGGCAATGATTTTTAAACTAGCTTTTTTCCTCTCATTTCAGTAAATTAGTTTAACGGTCACACAGAGCACAGAAAGATGCCTTAAAGCAGGTCACATAATTTGTGTATCCCAAACTACTGTGTTATCAACTATAGCTCTCAATGGCCTTGAGCAGAGATCTTTCCCATCGCCTTCTACTTGTTCCTTTCTCTTTTCAATGGAAGATGCTAGAGATGGAACATGCATGCAAATCATGCGCTGTATCATTAATCTGCAGTCCCAGTCACTGCACTGTTGGTTAACTGCAGTTCTGTTTTATTCCTGACTGACAACTGGGAGTATGTAATAGAACGGTCAAAAAAGGGAAAGGGGTTACATTCCACTGTTGTGCCCCTTCCAAAGAGGAATCACTTGTCCCTATCACTCAGTCCCACCCTCCTCTTCCCCTCTCCAGAATATAATAGAATGGATTGTTATTCATGGTTGAATGAAACAGTTTAGATATATGCACTATTCTGTGTAAATCATTCAATAATCTTCACAGAAGAATTTTCTCTAATTTTAAACTTGTGTCCCCGGGGAGAGAGGGAGAAACACTCAAGAATTCCTTCTTTTTTCCTCTTTGGTTGGATTTACCTTGCTCTTATTGGATGTGATCCTAATCGAGGGCCAAGCGCGTTCCCATTTCCAGGAGAGTTCTTCCGAGCTAATGCTGGTGAGATGGAAGTAGTTCTTTGAGGCACCTGTAAGAAAATCACATTGGGTGGGCTATTTGAGGCTGTGCTAGTGAACTCATGGCCATGTCAGCAACCTGGGAAGGACAACCAGGATTTAGCTAGCTTAGTAGCATGATTTTTGCTTTAATTTCCCGTGAAAAATACAAAATATTTATTGATAAAGTATTACAAATTGGAGATCACTCCTACATCAGAATCCAAGTTGCTTATTGTAATGGAAATGTCACTTTAAACACCATCAGTTTATTTGCTATGGCAAGGAATGCCTGTTTCTTTTCCACAGTAAATTGCTGTGTTTATGTTATAAAGCAAATGTTGACCTGCACAGACCCACGAAGCACTGCTAGAGCTGCTATGAACACCAGGGTTTAGGTAAACACAGAAACGCTACAGGCCTCATCAGCTTTAATAAACTGAATATTCTTCCTAATGAATACCGGGTACCACAGGGTGCAAAGGGGAAATGGGGCATTTTGCTGCCATATTTCAGCAGCAAATAGTCACTTTTTCCCTTTGTGCTAGCAAGTGCTAATGATGCTGTCCCAGTGCTGAGTTGTGCCAGCACTAGTATCATTATTGCATCCTTAGCATTAGTGCTGCAACCCCATGGATATTACTCTTTCACGGCCTCCATCCATATAGGGTGGACAAATTCATCTCAACAGTCTAAGCTGCAACAGCCTTTCTGTCCTTGCCCCTCCCTCTTTTAGCAAAGCACTTGTCAAGAGAGGAACTAGGACTACCCTGTGCACTATCCAGTGCAAAGAACATTTGTGTGTGTGCATAAAAGTGCTTGTCTTTAAGTAGGAGCCTTGCTTGCTTCAGAATGGCAATCTGAGTGTTTTTTGCAGACGGAACCCTGCAAAAATATAGCACATTATTAGTAGAATGTCTTCAGTGTGTGAGGAAGAGTAATGGTAAGCAGAGCGACATTTCTATCACTACTGTTAAATTAATGAAAGTGGATGTTCTCAGGAAGGCATACCCTGAAGAACAGTCCAGATTCTCTGATGTGCACCAAATAACACGGGGAAGGAATTAATCTAAATTCAATCAATCCAAAAAGGAGCAGTGCAGCTACTAACAAGAACCAGAACTAGACAGCATACCAAGCTGCTCCTCTGCCAATTGCACTGGCTGCCTGTTATTGCCTGGGCCCAATTCAAAGTGCCATACAAAGCCCGAAACAGCTTGGGACCAGGATATCTGAAGAAACTCCTGTTTCCATACATACCTCCTAGACCACTTAGCTCTTCTATGAAAGCCCTTCTTTGTGACCAACAACCCCCCCCCCCATGAAGTGAGGGGGGTATTGGCAAGAAAATGGGCTTTCAAGAATGAGGTACAATACCCAGTAGCTTTACGTGGAGCTACCCTTGGAGATGGTCCGGATACTTCAATTGGTTCAAAATAGAGCTGCCAGGCTGCTGACGGGGACTGGATGTTATGTTCCCATTGAAGTCTGGGCCCAATTCAAGGTGTTGGTGATGACCTATAAAGCCCTAAACGGCTTGGGTCCTGGTTACCTGAAGGAGCGCTTACATCCATATACACCCACCCGCCCCTTGAGATCTGCGGGAGAGGCCCTTCTCCGGTAACCCTCCGTGAAAGAAATTAGGAGGGTAGGTACTCGGAGGAGGGCTTTCTCTGCGGTGGCGCCCAATCTATGGAATGTGCTCCCCAGAGAGGTCCGCCTGGCGCCGTCATTTGTTTTTCGGCGCCAGGCAAAGACCTTTTTATTTAAACGTCATTTTAATTGTTAATGTTATTTGCTTATTTTATCTGGCCAGGGCGACTTATTTTATATTGTTAATTTGTTGTATGTATTTTATTTTATGTTGTGAGCCGCCCCGAGGCTTCGGCGAATGGGGCAGCATAGCAATGTTTTAATAAATAAACAAACAAATAAATAAAAAATGGGTATTGTACCTCATCTCTTAAATTCTCTTCCTAAACAGGTCTGACTGGCACCCTCATTATTCTGCTTTCATCAGCAAGTAGAGACTTTTTTTAGTACTTGCTTTTAGAAATTATGGTTTATTATGTTATTTTCACTGCTGATTTTATTGTTGGTTATACTGTCCCCCTGTTTCATGTCAAACTGTACTATACTAACTGGATTTTATGTGCTTTTAGATGCTATAGTTTCCATTTTATTATGTTTGTGTCATGTTGTTGTTCCTGTTTTCCTGTCAGCTGCCAGAAAGCCTCCAGGCTATGGGGCAGCATACAAATACAAACCAACCAACCAACCAACAAAAAAGCAAGATTATACTAAACGCAGAATGAATAAGCTAAATGCCTGGTATCAGAGCACCATTCACATAATTCATTCATATTTCTTCACAGACATGGGACATTTGCTGCAAAGCAAGAGTTCACCGACAGACAGTTCTGCAGCTTGCCTTCCTGGGTTCATCAGAAGGTGAAGCGCAAGTTCAATGTTCACCAGTGTTATTTAACAGTGTTATTTTGAAAACATGTATTTGCCTTTGGAATAAATTTGGGTCTGGTTTCAGAAGCACCCTATTTGCACAGAAAGTGCAGAGGCTCTCTCTCTCACACACACGCACACATACACACAGCAATCAATATCCCCAGCCCTCCTAACTGAACTTAGAACTACTAGGAACAGTTGAGAAGGTGAGTTACCTTGGGAAGATGGTTTCACTTGGTTCAAAGCAAGCCTTTCTGAGGGCCCTGAGCAGCAAGGCCATGTCCCAAGTGGAACATCTAATTACCACTAGTGTCAACAATAGAAGTACCAAGCATTTGACTTGAGGATGGGCCTTGCAAGACCAGTACGTGTCCCAACACAGACATTATTCAAAGCTGCTACCTGTCCTTGTTAGGTGTGCTCAAAAGAACTTGATTCAGGCCTATTTGAAGGAAACTGGGCAACTCCAGGAGGCCAGCAGAGATGAGAGATATCTGGTGCTATCTACACCTTCTTTGAAAAGCTTCCTTGGCACTAAGAATGATCTTGACTACCCCTTCCAACACTCTAGCCCCTAACAACTATTGCCATTCAACCACCATGTAGTCAGTTGCATCCATTCTGAAGTTTCCATGAACAACCCATGCATAGCTCCTGAACATCTGAAAATAATGGTCTCTGAGATTATGAAATGCAGCCCTATTAGCACTACCTGTCCCTTCACCAACCTTTAGTGCAAAACTCTGGAGTGGAAAAATATATAGTAGGCCTTGGGGCCAGGATATGGACATTGCGTCTACCTTCTTCATCCAGCTGCATCTTGACACCTGGTAAAGTATCTCTAGGTTTTGGTATAGGCAATGCTGGCAAACATATCTAATATCAGTGTCTCCCAGCTGCCAGTAAGCCACTGAAAAACATTGTGATGAAGAAACCATTCCCCTTGCTGAATTGTTGATAGATTCAACCAGTGTGTCTGTACATTCAGCTCCCTCTTGATGCACTCTGCAGTGAGTAAGGTCATTTGGATCTCTACCTAAGTTAGGAGTAGGTTCTCTCTTGTTGTTTGCATAAACCACAACATGCTCATAGAAGACCAAAGTCACCAAAGCCTGAAAGAGACAGTGAATATGTCCGAGTTCCAGCCAATCGTTTGGCAATAGTATTTCAAACGTCAACCCTAATCTACCAGCCCTTTGTACTAGTCTCCCCAGTGTCCCAAGCTGGCATCTGTTGTGACTTGAGTCCAAATCAGTTCTTTTAGTGGTACTCCTCTGGAGAGTTCCTAAGGGCTAAATCACCAAGAGAAGAATCAAAGCACCTCTGGCAATAGGGTCAGTATGATGTGTTCTGTGCAGGAAATTTGGGTGTGGTAGGGAAACCTTGTAGGGGATGGAAGTGGAACTGGCCCAAGGCAAAATCTATGAAGGCTATTGTATAGAAACACAGAAACAAAGTGAATCAGAAGGGGCCTCCTGGGCCATCTAGTCTGACCCCCAGCTTCAGCCAGGTCTGCTCATGACATGCCTACCATATCCCGTGGATTTGTGCCAGATCCATCAGCAGTGGCCTCTTCTGACTCTGTCCTTAATGCAGGACTGGCTCTTGACTGCTCTTTCCACTGAAAAGAAAACACTAACATGTCTATTGTCAGAAAATAAGCTTCTGTAAGATCTACGAGGTCAGCAAATCCTCTGGAAAAATGGCCTCTGTTGAAGACCCTGGTGTCTCATCATGAACTTCCTCTTCTTGATGCACTGCTTGAAGAACATAAGGTTCATGAAGAATATGGAGGAACCACCTGAAGTTCACTTACATAAGGCATCTGTTCCACAGTACCTATACTGAGTAAATTCTTTCAAGCTGCAGAAATCCCAAGGTATTTTTTCCTGAGTCAGAGGGTAGAAAACAATTGCTGGGGACAGTTTGGAATTCAAGGGCATAACCCAGACATATGGTCTCATGAACCCACCTGTCTGAACAAATTAAATCCATTTACACCCCAAATCCAAGGTTGCTTTCCCTTTTGCTTGCCTCCTTAACTTGGCTTGGCATACACTGTGACTAGTTGACAGCAGCCTATCCATTGGGACCAGAAAAGCCTGCTGGACCAAAAGGTAGAATATGAGACCTTGGAAAGGAAGGAATGTATAAACTTCTTCTCTTTGATCTCCCTTTTATGGTTCAGTGAAAGGACCCTCTTTTGTTCTTTGGTCTTTATGAACATGGGAATGAGGGCTTCCCCAAACAATTCCACTTGCAACATAAAGGGAATGATTGCCAGGTTTTCTTTTGCCTCCCACCTCCCAACGTTTCAGCCATAACCTGTGGTACACCATAAAGCCTGATGATATAGCTGGCTGCACATTGGAAGCAGTTCATAGAAAGGTCCACCAGAAACCTTGTGGTTGTAGTTTAGGTCTTCCCTAAGGTGACTGGACCCAGTTGGGACTTCTGAGAGAAAGGCAGCTTGCTCACCTGTAACTGTCGTTCCTTGAGTGGCCATCTGTGCATCACATATATGGGTGCTGCACCTGCACAGTGCCTGTGGTCGGAAAGATTTAAAAGC